GTGATCTTTCTGTTTGTTTTTAGTAATGTCTCTTTTGCTGTACAGAAGCTCTTTAACTTGATATAGTCCCATCTATTTATCTTTGCCTTCACTATTGTGGGCCATCTGCTATTTTAAGGTAAGTCTGAAAACAAATTTATCAATACATGTATCAATATATCCCACTCAGTATAAAATGGTATCGCAATTCAAACACAATTCCAAATTGTATAACATATGCAACCTTTAAAGAGATTGCATATTATGATTCATCAAAAAGACAAAATAGTACAAAAAGCTGATTACTAGGAGTAGAGCACTGCCACTAGTACGTTTCACTAAAACATAATTGAAAAAAAAAAAGGCATTACAAAATTACTGTTAAATTTCATCACAGTATGTATTGGATATATAATTGAAAAGATCACATTAATTAGAAAAGAAAGGAGAGCAATTCAGTTTATAACCTTATGCCACCTTTTTTGGCCCTAGGAAAGAATGATGCTAAGTTTACTGATATAAAAATACAGGGTCTGGACCCCACCATATTCATATGGTTTTTCCCTGCCCTAGTTCTTTTGACCATTCAAGCGCTTTCCCCATAGATGTACACACACAGGTGTACACACATTAAAATTTACATCATGCGTCTCCTCCCTACTATAAATAAATACAGTCTCTGTTTACCTGGACGGTTGACAACTTTTTTGTTGATATTTTAAAAGAAACTGTTGAAATTATTTCAAATTAATCCTCATATAAATATTTTATTTTAAAATTACAAATATACAAGGTGCATTTAGGCAGAAGGGTCTGAGAATACAACAAAGTTGAAATAAGTAGCAACCTAGCTTGACAAAAAATACTTGGTTCAGGTAAGAAATTACTAAACTACTGAAAACAAGTTAGCAAAACATCCTGAAGTGCATTTCAAAATTATAGTTGATTCGAAACTGCTTTTCTTCCTAGACTGATACTAAAATAGTTGTGTTTTGGCTAAAGTTATAACTGATAATATTTATCCACTTGTATATATACATATTCTTTCTGCTTAGATTAAAAATTGTATATTAAAATTTATAGTTTTTACCAAAAATGTGAGCCCATATATACATTTCTGACAGTGGGAAATTATTGTAATTATTACACTGAGGAATGCTAAGCATGGGAAATGTATCCAAAGTACAAAATACTTATAATGAAATAATACAAAAGAAAAACTATTTTCAAATGAGATCTATTTAGCAAACTTGCTCATGGCTAATTCCCAAATTCCATGGGATACTGAACACCAGGATCTTGGTGCTCTGCTATTTTGTGGAAAAGGTCATTTTAATCAAATCCCCTATGTTTGACACAATTACACTGACACAAAATTTTAGAGTAAAATTTTTATTTAAAGATATGATCTATAAAGTTTCTCAGTACAAAAATGGGAGCACCTGCCACTTCGAGATTTATTCTGTTGTAACGCCAGACTTGAACTAGAGTCAGCTCTACAGATATGCAAATATATCAGGGCTAGAGAGGTCTTCATGACCAGTTTTTTCTTTGGTGCTGAAGGAGGATGGATGGAATGAATTCAGGATAAGACTAAAATTATAACTGTTTCAGTTACTCCTTTGCAGGATGCCTTGTGTCACACATTTGAATTGTATATTAGACATGAGTAAAGAGCTTTTGGCAGATTGGAAAGGCCCCAGAATTTCTTGATAGACCTGGGAGCTGGTAACTGGGTTCCTGAATTTGCAGCTAAGGTAGGTTCTTCCGCTCAGTGATGTTAAGAATGTAGCTAAAAGACTGCCTGTTGTTTAGCCCTATTTTATTTCTCTTTTTATGCACTCCCATTCATTAGTCATTACCAGAAAATCAACAGACTGCCTAAGAAAATACCTTACTTATTGTTCACTTCACTGGATAGTGCTTAGGGCATCAAGTACTACAAAGTACTCGGAAAATTCAATAATGACCTGCCGGTATTAGGATCTTTCCTTGTGATTTTAATATTTTTTAAATCTAAATGGATATCTGCTAAAATAGCAAACTAAACTTCTGATACTGAAGTCAACAGGAGGAGAAATACATAAAAACTGTTCATATACAGTTTTCATTTGAGTTGGTGAGTTAAGATCAGATGTGGACAGTGCTTTTACAATATATCTGTGCTTCTGAAGCCTCTCAGTTAGTGATCATATTTCTGTCACTTTGAAGTTTTGATCCTTGGTAACAGTATATCTGTCTAGAGAAAGGGGTGTGTACACCCTTCAATGATCTCTACTCTGGCCAGCTTTATCCCCTTTAATTTCTAGAGAGGAAGAATGTTTATACTAAGTATAGTAGTAGCCAATATTACTGCAGTTGTTAGTAAATGACTATATAGTTGTATGAAGTTTCATAATTAAACTGCTAGTTAACAGGAGATAAGCCAGCAAAGAAGACTTTTGACAACTCGTTATATTGTCAAGTGAAATTACCTATCAGAAAGGAGTAATTTCAAAATGTTAAAGTGAGTTTAATTTCCCAAGTTCATCTGGTCTTCAAAAACTTGTGTAGTCGTTAAAATGAATTTCCTGTCTTTTTCCAAAAGGGCCTGATACTGGGATGTACCTTTACCTAAACATTGTGATCAATGGTGCCTGCTCTCATGGTCTCATTTGTCTGAACGTGAAGGCTGCATTCTTAATGTTTACCACAAACCCAACGAAGCTGATGTTCTCTCTGAAGGTCAGTCAGGTCTTCAATAGTCCTCCAGTTACACTGGCAAGCATATGCACGCGTTCCTTTCTTCTTTACCAACTTAGTTTTTAATTTATGAAATTCCGGCATATTGTTCCTATCAGTAAAACAGGAAGGTTTTAGCATAGTGGTTTTGTTCAGTGCTAAATAACTTAAAAAGTTCTAATTATATTATTTTCCTATTGCTACATCTAAATGTGCCACTTTGTTTCCCCTCACACAAACAACAGAAGAGATGTTTCAGTGTTCTCTTTCTGATGGTATTTCTTCAATACTCAGCATTTTTTAATGCAATCTTCTAGGCCTATTTATTCAACCTATTAGGTCTATTTATTCAACTTATTCTATAAAATGATCTAAAGGGCTAAAGAATTATGGTCTGTCTTAGCAGAGATGACATATGAGAACAGAGGGGGGATGATGGCTGCTCATCTGCTCAGCTCCTTAACAATACCATGTTTTAAAAGCCTGCAGTATGCAAATAGGATGTAAAATAGGCAGGTAATAGGCTTCTGATGGATTAATTACAGAAATACTTATTTCTACATGTTGAATTCATATATTTCACTTGTCTTTGTGATTTACATGTCATATTATCTGCAACAACATAAATGCCTGTATTGAAATAAATGATAACAATGTTAAAATAATTAATCGCTGGATAGGACCATCATAAGAAATATCCACCTGACTTGATGCTATTATAAAAGTCATTAGAAGCTAATTGAATTTACTGAAAATCAATATGATCTTCAGATTTCGGTATTGAATTTATGTAAATATATTATGGCAGAAAACATAAATATGTAAAATAAATGTCAAGAAGTGAAATGATGAAATACAATATAAAATATTTAAAAAAATACAGTGCTATCTGCCTTCTGTGCAAGTCACTGCAGGCTATAAAGTGCCCTCTGGTGGTCAATGGTACCACATTCAATACTGTGGTGCATGAAATGCAGGCACAACTTTGAAAGTCAGAAACTAATAAAACCTTAACTTTTTAGGTTGTCTGATTTCAGGGCACTGAGATTTGACCAGCTAAGTGACTTAGCTAAGATTATGGTGAGCTAAGATAAGAAGTGAATAAGTTTTATCAGAAAGAAAATAAACCCACAAAATGTGTTTAATGAAAACAAAATAGCTAAGTGAAGGAAAATGTCCTTTATTCAGTTAACAATAACATTTAACAAACCTGACATCTGATATGTGGTTGAATCCTTGGAAATTTTAGAAAGAGAAGTCATGAATACCCATGTAATTAGTACATTTCAAAAGCTTTTTTAAAGAAGCTCAAACAATTATTTCTTATAAGGACAACATATGATTCAGCTATTATGGAAGGATGCTGAAGTAAGTACAGCTTACACTTCCTTTAAGAGCCAATCATTGCCCTCATTTGTTAACTAAGAATAAGATAGCCAACTGCACCCCATAGAAACTGGGTCCTATTTATCTTGTGAGCCCAGTAGCTAACTAAGCAGGGCACAGACTAGGTATTAAATCATGCCTGTTTGGAAATGCAGTTCTACAAAATAACAAAATACTGATTTATATTCTGGTGATTGTGACAGCCTTTTCCTTTATTTGTCCCATTCTCTCACATTCCAAACATATTCCTAAACATCTTGAGGGCTAGGGCAGTATTTTCTACTGATTTAAATAACTACTTACTATATTTAGTATATTGTAGAAAGACATACACAATAGTGTTATTTATTCTTAACAATGTAATAAATCTTCTAGCTTTCATTGTTTTATCTGAAGGTATGTGTTTCTTTTAAACCAGGATGCCGCAGCTCTAGAGTAAACTAACCAATGTTCTTGATAACTCTGAGACACTAAGTTTCTCGACTACCGCTGAACCAACAGCCTTTCTTTATGCTGTGCTTACCCAGCTTAGATGTTTCACATATTCTACTGTCCTATGTGCACTTAATACAAGTTGATGATTGATTTTAGTGATACAAGGGATTAAATACTTAATTACTAGGTGAGCCAGAAGACATACCTACCAGAGGATTTAGAGAAGTCAAAAAAGGTAAAATAGTGCTGAAATGAAAAGCAAATTTTCCCCAATTCTGGGAGTTAAACATGATCTAACATAAACTTAAAGTAGGGCTCCTGAACTGCGATTTGGGGGCCGCATTAGGCTTTATTTGGGGTGGGGGCTGTAAAACCTCTCAAACTACAGTTTTTCCAAGTATTTGTGCAGCTGAATTATGTGTGTGTGTCAAAGATTCAAAATTTTCATAATGTTTTCAAAGTGGTTTTTGATGTGAAAAAGTTTCGAAACTATTATAATAGAGGAAATTCCCATGGGTTTACCTGAAAATGGCTGCTAGAAGAGGTGTGTTGCAGTATATGCTGATTACTTGTATTTGGAAATAAAGACTGTTTGTGCTTAGGTTTAGGGGGCCAAAATACATGGTGTCCATACTTTATTGAGTTCTTAAGTTTTATTTGAAAACATGAAGGCATCTTAATAACAGCTTAACGTATCAGGTACCCAGTAAGTGTTTAAGAATGTAGAAGATATAAAAATATGAGTAAGACATTATCCCTGTCACAGTGCTGGCAAATACCAACCTGAGGCTTTCAACCTCATGTTAGAGTAACTGAAAGTGCTGTAATAGGACTGAAGGGGTATGGGCAGACAGGAAAGGATGAATTTACACCTAAAATTTAGAGAGTTGTGAAGGAATCATGGAAGGTACATAGAGTTATACCTTGGTAGGCTGTAGGTAGACAAATCAAAGCAAAGGTATTCCAAGAGGCGGATAGTTTGCTCAAGTCACAGGGAATGGAGGGCTGAGTGGTTTACTGTAGTTTAACTCTTGTGATGGTAAAAGGCAATATATTGTGAAAGACAAAGCTGGATGATAGTTAGGTGGGGACTAGATTGTGGAGGTTCTTGTCTGTCATAGTAAGGAATATGGACATTCCTTAAGCACGAGGGTTCTGGGTAGGGGAATGGATTACTGCAGAGTTATGCTTTAATTCTCAGCAAGGGGACGGTAGTCTGGAAGAAGCCAGTAGAGGCAGAAAAAGCAGTAAGGAGACTACTGTATTTGTCCAGAAACAACAAGTCCTTACCTACAGCAAGAGCAGACAGATGGAAAAGTGGGAGATGGATGGGAAATAGTGAATAGGTCGAGGTGAAACATCTTGCCAAGGCCACCAAGAGACATCATAGCAAAATAAAGTTGTACTTTTCCCTGAGTGGAGTTCTTTAGAAACATACCTGAAAAAGAGATAATCGCATGATTTATCCCACATATAGTCATCGTAGCTTACTACCCAGAAGTCACAGGCTATACAACGCAGATGGTCACATGCTCTGTTCAGAAAAAAAGAACTATACATTAGAGATTGTAGATGTATTTAAAAATGAAAATATGGTTATTTATTCATAGGATATACTACATTTTACTTGTAAGATAGTTCATGTGATTTCTGAATGAAAAACTGAAAGGTAAAGATTAATCTGAAATAAATTTTTATATCAGAAGTAGTCCTTTTATTGTAACGGGCTAATTAAATATCTGAACGTTCAGATTAAATTCCTGTAAAAACCAAAACTATTTTACTAAGATCTTACACACTAACACATATACACACACGTTTATATTCAGATGTAAATAAGTGAAATCATTGAGTATTTAAGTTCGATGGTTTTCAGATAGTGTCTGAGGGAGCTATTCATTTAACTTCTTCAAAGTGCTTCATATTTTGTTGAAAATTTCAGGATGCTACCATCAGAGAATTGGCCACACTATATTGAAATAAATCTGTCGCCTTTGTAAGTGAATCAAGTGCTGGGAAAACCTCTTACTTGTTTCTCTTTCCCTTACTTGACAGCAATGTATTCATTCACTCATTTAAAAATTACTTACTGAAAACCTAAGCCCTATGAGATTCCATCTTTATGGATCTTAGATTCTAGTGAGAGAAGAAATAAAATAATACTTATAACAATCAAATTATTAATCTTGGGTAAATAAAACTGGGAGGGAACAGATTGCATGCAGTTTTACAGACTTGTCTGCATAGGCTTCACTGAGGTCTGCCTGAACAGTTTCCTTAGATTGGGCAGCAAAGAAAGTGGGGTTAAGAGAAGGTTCTATTAAGGGAGGGAGGACAAAGCAAGGTTGTGTGTTGTAAAGATGCAGTGAAGAATCAAATGCTAATTATGCAGGTGACAGAGGGAAGAACTGTAAGAATAACACTAGCATAGAGGGGCCCAGTAAATAGCAAAGGAACTGAAATGCCAAGTAATTCACATTCAGATACTTTAGGGAGTAAAAAAGGCAAGAATTATGACCTACAGCTGCAAACAGTCTGATTTGTGTAATGATAGTAATTTAATGAAAAAAGCTTACATTGCTTTAAGTATTTAAAAACTAGCATCAATAGATACGTTTGATTCTTAAGATTATAATAAAAAAGCTGTTTTTAAGATATCAAAAACGACATGGAGAAGATAAGTAAAAGAATGGAAGGGGAACATTTTCATCATATGATTACATAATTATATAAATAGTACTCACAAATGGTAACAAAGAAAAAATTAAAATATATTCAATTTCACTAATGAATAATTCAAAGCATGGACACGGGACACAGCTATGTGTATCTGTATAAACATATTGAATAATTTATGTATAGCTGCTGTCAGACAGCTGTGTCAGTTGGCTTATCTATAAAATCAGTAATAATAGTTACTATGAGAAACAAATGAAGCAATATTTGTATAAAGTATTATAATAGTATCTGACACAAAATGTCCTTTAAAAAGTTAAAATATTATATAATTAAAATTTAGAGCAACCACAAAATATGTTTATATCAATTAAGTTAGCAAAAATTAACACTAAATTTTTCTCAAAAGATTATAGCAATTCACATACCCACCAAAAATGGGTATTCTGGCATTATTTTAAAATTAAAATTATACATATGTTACACTATCAATACCATTTTGAATAATGTATTTACACATTAAAAAAAAAATCACCAGCATATAAGTATGTATGTCTCAAGAATTTTTACTTCAGTATTGTTGAAGTGGTAAAAATACCTCTTTGATATCTATTAAACAGGGAAAACACTGAAAAAAATGCAATACATTTATTTATTTATTTTTAAAGATTTATTTATGCATATATGAGCTGGGGTGTAGGCCAGAGGTGTGTGGGCTGAGGGGATTCACTAGAGACAGAGTGGGGAGCAGAAGAGATGATCTACTGAAATACGCTGCTGAGGGGAGCAGTGGAAGAGACAGGAGGGGTCTGCTGTACCACGTGGGTCACCTCCCTGGCCCAGGATCTAACTCCTGCTTCAGTGGCTGCGAATAGGTTGTGCTGAGAATTAACCCCTTGCCACCGGGGAGGATGGACCACAGTACATTCCTACTATGGAATATTATGAAGTTGATCAAGGGAATTAATTGGATTTATCTGCTGACCTAGAGCAACGTCCAAAGCAAGGTGCCAGGCAACAGACAGCATGATCTTATTTTTGTAAAAACAACCAAAAATATGCCTATGTTTGTTAAAAATACAAAAGATTATAAAGCTACTATTACTTATCTCTGGAGTAGAGGGAATCAAAGGGAGAGAAGGAAATTACCTTTCTCTTTACACATCTTCATTTTGGCTTTATTTTTTTCAACTAAAATAATATTTCTGTAATTAAAAAACAGTAAAACTCATCTCTAGACACTTTAGATTTATTTCCATCTAACTTCAAAACTGCAAATAGTTTTGGTCTCTAAGTTATTTGAGAATAATATTTTAGAATTATTATCATGGCAATAATTAACACTAACATCTCTACAAGCTTCATGAACAATTCCATATTTACTTTTAAACTGTTAGCAGTTTATGAAGTTATATTTGCAACACACAGAAATTCAACACAGTCACTTTCATATACATTTGAATTTGGTTCTGAATGTACAAGTCAGGAAATGCAGAAAGAAGGTTCCAAAGCTGCCGTGACTTGTCTTCGTATGCATATGTAGTTTATTACATGATTGTGCAGAGTGTTAACTTTAATGCCTTAATACGTATGTGCAATTTGGCTGAATTATTGCTGTTGTGGGAATGATAATTTAGAATTTCCTGACATTTTCTATGAGTAAAATCTCAGCCATAATGTTAAATACAGCTTTTTAATTTAATTTAAAATTTAGTAGTTTATTCAAATCTATTCACACTACCACATTTTCCTGCAAACACTGTCCTTTGAGAGAAATAAAATTAAATTGCAGCTAAGAAATCATTCTGCTGCTACGATTCACTCTATTAGATCATAGTTAGTACCAGTCTATGGAATAATCCAGTCTTGCAAGTAGTTTAAAAAATAATTGGGAGAGTAAAATTCGATTTGGCTTGAAAATAATGCCTTGGTTTTACCTATATTTTATTAATACCATTCCAATTCCTACTACTGCTCTTTCTATCAACTAGGTAAAAAAATTCCAATCTTAACTAAAATCATTCAGCATTCTCCCAATCTAGAGCTCTATCAAGAAATCCAACAAATAAGACACATGGAAAATGGGCAGGAGAGATTCATTTTCCTTTATGACATGGACACACATAAATCCATGGATAAGGCTTAAATCCAATCGCATATAGTTTTCTGCTGAAACTGAGGTTCTCAAGTTAAATCCCTCAATTCTACACTGTGAACTAGGGAGTATTGCTGTTGGACACGGGGCAAATAACAGCAGTTGCAATAGCAAAAGCAGCCAAATCCTCCATCTCACATACATTACACAGCCTTTGAAAATTAGTATACTAGAAAGCATGATCGATCAGGGATCAGCTTACACATTTGAGTCCTTGCTTTGTATTCATTTGTGTGACCTGGGACAAAGCACATTACGTGGGACCCATTCTTAACCACATTCTCTCATACTTCCTGTAATCAATTACCCAAAATTCTGTCAATTCTATATTCACAACAGCTCAAATGTGCCACCTTTTCCTAACAGCCACCACCACCGCCACTACTCAGGTCACGACTGCCATTGTCACCCCATCCTGCACAACAGTAAACTACTGCCTGCTAATTGGTTTCCCTGCATCTTCTCTTTTCTTGTCCGTCCAACTTTGAATGCAGTCCTATTTTCCATTCAACAGCCACTATAATTTTCCTGAGGAATACGATGTCACAACTTCAGGTAAAAAAGCCACCACTGCACAGAGGACATACTTTTGGTAAAAGCCTCCAAAGGACTCCAAACCAAATGGCCCCAACTACCTTTCCAGCTCCACCAGGAGCCCTTCTTTCTCACTCTCACACTGTTCCAGCTCACAGGGCTGCTCTCTACTCCTCTAACATGGCTGGCTCCTTCTCAGCTCAGGAACCGTCCAACATGGTATATTCTCTAGTTCCAGTCTCTCTTCCTTGCTTATCTCCTGCTCATTTTTCATATCACAGTCTGATTAAATGTCCTTTGCTCAGGGAAACCTCCCTGACTACTTCATGATAGTTCAAGTGCCCACGATCTATGCTTGTAGAATCCTGTTCTTTCCCTTCACACCACATATTACTTGGAAATTAAATATGTATTTGTGGACTCACCTTTTGGGGGTTTCTAACAGCTTACTGAAGGCAGGGGGTGTCTATTTATTTGTCTACTGCATTGTTTTCACTCAAAATCTAAGATCTAGCATGCAGTTTGCTAACTAATATGTGTTTGATGAATTTAATACCAGTGCCTCAATTTCCTCACTTGTGAAATGGTGCTAAAGAATTCTTGCTCTACTGGCACCTCTGTTTTTTCTCTGTGAGCAGTTGAACCACTATACGTATTTATAAAGTGCTCTGGGCAGTATAAAAGCACTTTACACATGTTTCGTATGCACATCACATGAATATGTATGTGCCTATCTTTCTTTGAGTGCAGATCTGTGTCATGGCAAGGGCAACTGATGACAGGTATCTTTGTGGTGAGTGAGGAAGGACAGAGATGCGAATAAAAACATCTATCGGTGCATATCTATGTAAATGGTGTATGTTTTTCCCCTTGCTGTGCAGAAGGTAGGATGACAGGTCTTGGCATTATTATGTTATAGGACTCTTGAGCTGTGAAAACAGGTTTCTCTTTTGTCTATTTAAACACTTCCTAGAATGTAGGCCAGCACCACCACAACCCTCTGTCTTTTTGGATCCCACGTCTAGTATTCAGTATAATAGCTAGTCCTGAAATGTGGTCAACAAGCAATCGTGTATCTCAATCGTGTATCACAAATCTAGGGTTTGTGGTTTTTTGTTTTCCACCTGACCTTTTTTCTTTAAGTTTCTCCATAAAATAATGTTTTAGAAATAACTAGACAAAAAAGTGTGGTAATCTAGTTAGGTAGAGTGCTGCAAAAACAGAACCCAAACTATCAGGACAGTACAAGGATATGCTGAAGAGCAATCTGTTTCCCCATTTTACAGCAGTGATAAACACATGCTGAACACACTCTAGGCCGACATGACTTGAGCTGGGTGGCATCCTGACTGTAAGACTGCCCTGCAGGAGGTGCTGAGTGAAAGTATGGGCTTCAAAAGGGTGGGGAAGAGATAAAGAAAGGGGGGTTTCTACTTTTGAAATATGCCAAATCAAGTGACCATGCCAAGAATGTTCTGGGTTTTGCAGACTTGAAGCTTTCCGTGCTGGCCGACTGACTGAGGCAGCGTGGCTGTACTGCTTCACCTGTCTTCCTCATTGTGTCTGCTGCCTGCAAGGAGAAACGGCCAGGCAGATGTGCATTTGCCTGGCTTCCTGTGGAAACCAAGCAGGGATTACAGTGGATCTGAGCGTTTCAAGTGGGGCTTAGAAAAGACTGTCAGCGCAATGACTATCACATACCCCATGTCAAAGCTTTTACTCACTATTACCCAAAAATAATGAACATTTCAGTAAAGTGTCCTTATATTAGCTAATAAAATATACCTCTCATTATTAAGCTGATGCCAAGAGAATAAGAACTATGTTTTAATGACAGAATATCAATTTGGAAAAGTCTAGCAAGAGAAGATAATATATTATTTCTGACATCTCACCTCCGTGAAGTATTTGTTCCAATCCCAGGTGGAGCAGAAGTTCCACCGAGGTACACTGGGCTGCAACTAGACATGTTCAAAGACAGAAGAAAATGATTTAAAAAAAGGGAAATATGAGAAGTTAATTTGTTCTCATTATCTCGATGCTCTTGTATTCATGCTGTGTATTTCCTTGAGCAAGCCAGCTATTGCAAAGAAGTACTCATTGGAGGATCACTCATTTATTGGATAGTATCCTCTACATTCAGGAACACTCAAGGAGTGAAAATGAGTCACAGAAAAATGTGTTTGCCAAATAATGGAAGGGACAAAGTAAATACTTAGAAATATAACAGCACATTAATTTTGAGAAACTGTTCACACTTTTTTTCACATGAGCAAAATTATTTACAACAGCAATAATTTCCCATTTAGTTTCCTTTCCACTAAGAAGTCACAGACCAGAAGAACACCCAGATAATGCTATTGGTCTTTCTTGTGAAAGTCAACCAATGCTTTGATGTTCAGTGTCACTATTGTTTAAATGGTAACAATATCTATTAGACTATGCTCATAGTGTTTGCTCATTAGTGTGTATAATTCCTCCAAGCTATATCAACTTACCTTTTACCAAGGCTTTGAATGGAAGCTCTGACAGATGTGTTACCTGAAGATTTAGATTTTAATTTCTGTTAAAAACACAAAACAATAAAAGGGCAAGGGTAACTTAGAGAATTGTAACATGAAAATTAGTATTTTTTAAGCAAGGACATTTTCTAAATGACTAAGTTTTCTATCATTTTAAAATTTCTGCAATAAAAACGATTAAAAGCTTTTAAAGGCAAAAGGGAAGTAGACCTCCCTGAGGAATCTGCAAATTACTCTGTTAACTTTTAGTCTAGGAAACTGATATACTACAGTTATTAGCATACTAAGATTTAGAGTCACTTTATAACTCTTCAGTTAATACTCGAGTTCAATGATTTAATATGAAGGAGACCTGCTATTTAAAACTTCATCCTGGAAAAATTCAACTGAGGAGGGAAAAACCTCAGACTCATTTTTAAAGGCTTTGAGTGATACTCACCTGAACGAAAAATAAACTAATGAAAGTTCTGGGCAACTTCAGGAATATTAATTTTGATCAAATGGAATAGTATCAACCAACAGACATTCAAGAACAGAGAGCTACCCAGTTAGCACTGTATAGTAGTAGTTCCTTCATGGTTACATAACATCATCATTAGCCAGCATTTATTAAGTGCTAACTGGTATGTGGGACCAAACAACATAAACCAACCACATACTAGGACCACCGTCAAGGAAAGGAAGTGAGAGAAGAAAAGGCAGTTTAAGCTCTGAGGAGCCATGCTTTCATTTTACCTGGTAGAGAGGTAATTTAACGGAGGCAAAGAGATTTTGTTTTACCATCTCCCTCAACTCCTTTTTATGACTTTAAACAGAACCGTGCAAATTTTTGGTGCATGTCTGAAAAATAATGTGCATGAGCTTCTTTTTGTTTTAGGGAGCACGTTTCATGTACTGTCCAGGCTCATGCTTATAACTCTGAGTTGCCACAGTTTGCTGTTCCTGGGTTTTCTCGTATGGGTCTGAGAGCAGTTAAAAAACACAAAACCAGAGCACAGCGTGGAGAGGGGAAAGCAGTACTCTCAGGAGCACGATCCAGGCTTTAAAGATAAGGTGGCAGGACCTGCCATTCACAGACAGATACCTGCTCTCCTCCACAACTTTATTTGGGGTGCTTGTTCCCTTGCAGGCTGGGAAACTAAGAGGCATATAATAACTTAAAAAAGGGAACATATAGGGCCCTCCATGGTGGCGCAGTGGGTTAAAGCACAGCACTAAGAAGCTGGAGACACTTCTGCATGAGTTCGATCCCCGCCTGTCCCGGAGGTGACCATATGGCACGGCAGACCTCTCCTGACCCGCCCGCTGCTCCCCTCAGCAGTGTACTTCGTCGATCTGCCTGTGCTGTTCCCCATTCTGTCTCTGGTGAATCTTCTCACCCTCCGCATCTCTGGCCTGTACCCCAGTTCTATATGAATAAATAAATAAATAAATAAATCTTAAAAAAAAAAACTTTAAAAAAGGGAACATATAAAAGAAGTACATACAGATTTATTTCTTCATGATTATAAGTTACTTTTATGTCAAGCTAGTGTATCTTTTAAAATTTTTTAAAGATTTATTTATTTAGAACTGGGGGAGAGGGTAGAGGTACAGGGATAAAAAGATTCACCAGGGACAGAGGGGGGAGCAAAACAGGTAGATTGAAGTACACTACTGAGGGGAGCAGCGGGCAGGTCAGGAGAGGTTTCCCACGCCATGTGGGTCAGCTCCCTGTTGCATTCCATTCACACAGTAGTCAATGTCATTGTGATTGTGTTGATATGTTAATCAGCTAGGCCGTCAGCTTTTAATATACCTCAGAGGAATTGAAAATGTTAAGTTTAGAAAAATACATTGGCAATTTGATTTTTAGTCCAGTTGCCAAAAGTATAGGTGGTCCATATCTATATCCTCAACGCCACCATTTCCTGGTGCCATTCAGTCCACTGTCTTGCTTCAGTTTTCTCTACTTTTTTTTTTAATTATTATTAATATAATAGTTCATTTTTAGATCATTTTGTGCCTATTTCCATCTCAATTGTAATCCTCATGGGCTTCCCATCACCAATCACCAGTGAGTTTTCTCTACCTTTTAAAAATACCTTTGGTAAATTTTTCTTTGTGGTCTTCGTGACTTAGCCTTCATTTGCTATCTTTCTCTTAAATCTAACAATTATATTCTGCACTAACCGAACTAGTAAAAATTAAAATATATAAATACTTATATGTATACTTCTTATATGCACTCTTATTGACAGGACTATAAATGATAGTCACTTTAGAAAACATATTGATAGTGGGTAAAAAAGTTGAAGCTAAGAATACCTTGACTTAACAATTCCTCTCTTAAGCTTGTACTTATGTACATGAATAAAAAAAGACATATAAAGGTAAGTGATACATCAGCATTGTTTGAAAAAGGAAACAATGGCACATAATCTAAATGTCCTACACCTGGGAGGATTAATATGAATCATTTACAAGTTTTTGAATCTACACATAGCTAGTAAAAGTATAAAAGGATGGAAAGGACAGTGATTACCTTTGGGAATGAAGGCAGAGGAAGATTTGAAGAGTTCTTAAATTACAACTTTTAATTCTTAAAAAAAATCCAGAGAACCAAATATGGCAAAATGTTAAGATATGTTTGATGTGGGTGATGAACACATAAGTGGCTATTAATATTGTTTTATGAACTTTTTATAAAGTTGACATATACAGATATGTATTAACAAATTTTACAACCTACTCATTGACTCATGGGATAAAAGCTATGGTATTTTACCAGAGATGGCCAGCATATTTCTATGATGAAAGCTACTTAATTTTTTTTAAAGATTTATTTATTTATGCATATAAGAGCTGGGGTATAGGCCAGAGATGCAGGGGCGGGGTGGTATAAGGGGGTGAGAGGATTTACCAGAGACAGAGTGGGGAGCAGAACAGGTGAACTGACTGAAATACACTACTGAGGGGAGCAGCGGGTGAGACAGGAGAAGTCTGCTGCATCATTTGGACCAGCTCTCTGGCCAGAGATTGAACTCTTGCTGCAGTGGTTGACAATGGTACAAGGGGTTAAGTCTCAGCACTATGAAGCTATCTCATTAGCCACTGCAGCAAGAATTCGATCCCTGACCCATATGGCACAGCACACCTCTCCTGTCTTGCCCACTGCTCCTCTCAGCAGTATATTTCAGTCAGTCTGCCTGTTCTTCTCCCTACTCAGTCTTTGGTGAATCCTTTCACCTTTTAACCCCTCTCTGCACTTTTTGCCTAAACCCTAGCTCTTGCATGCATAAATAAAACAACAACAAAATTTTTGGTCTTTGAGAAAAGTTTGCTTAGATTCTACAAATAAATACCTGTACCACCTTCATCTGTGAGTTGACTTTTGCTCTATTAACTTTTTTGATTTTCATTCTTGCTGAGGAATGAAAACACATACTGAAAGTTTCTATTTTATTTTATTTTACAACTTTCTCTAAATAACTGTATTTCACGGAATTTAAAAGACTAGATATGTGTGTATTTTCAGAGTATTCTAAATTCGTCTTAAAATAATAAAAGAATTATTGCACATTTATGATACTTGACTGACTTACAGAGGGTTTTTTGTCAAAGTTGGGCTCTTCAAATATTTCATTAATTAGACTGTCAAGATCTTCTTCTTTGTTAAATGTTTCTTTTGATCTGAAAAACAAAACAAAACAACTGTTGGATCTTAAGCACAGATAAAAGTCAGCCAATATCAGGAGAATTTTGTTTAAATAAAGCTCAAGATTAGAATTGGTAACAGAAAGATAAATGTGACATTAATTTGATTTCTGCAGTGGACATAGCCTACATGTTTGTCAAGACAAAGATGTACTTTATCATGTAAAAATTTAAAATGTACTTTTATATTCTTAAGAGAAGATATTTAAAGCTCTGCATTATATTTAAGAGAAAGTTGGGCACTTAATTTTCTAAACTACATCAGCAACTCACTTAGAAAATGCAAAATATGTACAAATATAAGTGGATACTGGGAATTTTAAAGATTTTTTTTTTAAGATTTATTTATTTATTCATACAGAACTGGGTACAGGCCAGAGATGCGGAGGGTGAGAAGATTCACCAGAAACTGAGTGGGGTACAGAACAGGCAGATCTATGAAGTACACTGCTGAGGGGAGCAGTGGACGGGTCAGGAGAGGTCTGCCACACCATGTGGATCTCCTCTGGGGCAGGTGGAGACCGAACTCATGCGGAGGTGGCTTAAGCTTCTTTGTGCAGTGCTTTAACACGTTGCGCCACCAGGGAGGGCCCTAAATAAAGATTATTTTAATGATTTAAATTTTTTCCTCAAGGGTTTAACTATAATTCAATAACCATATCCCTTTGTTAGAGAACCTAAAGATCATATAGCCAAAGGCTAATGCATATATAGTCAAATAAACAATACAAAAAATAGTGATATTTGCTTTAGGGTGTATCTCAACTACCTTCTATAGGAAAAGTCATCACAAGGTTATTTAAAAATATTATTACTGCATGAGCCTTTTCTATAATAGCTAACACTTAATGAATATTTTCTATATAGATGAACAAATGGGTACTGAGAGATTTAGATGACACAAACAATGGGAGGAGAGGCCTGGAATTGAGTGTAGGGAAGTTTGTACATTTAATACAAATGAGCTTGACTCTCCATAGAGTTTATATGTTACAGATGCTGTATATCTACTTTCTAATGTCACTGGGTCATTAATATTTTAGTAGACAGATTTATTTATTTATTTATTTATTTATTCATATAGAACTGGGGTACAGGCCAGAGATGCGGGGGGTGAGAGGATTCACCAGAGACAGAGTGGGAGCAGAATGGGGAGCAGAACAGGCAGATCGACGAAGTACACTGCTGAGGGGAGCAGCAGGCGGGTCAGGAGAGGTCTGCCGCGCCATGTGGATCTCCTCAGGGGCAGGCAGGAATCGAACTCATGTGGAAGTGGCTTTAGTTTCTCAGTGCAGTGCTTTAACCCTCTGCGCCACCAGGGAGGGCCAGTAGACAGATTTTAATCTAAGTTTAATTTGAGAAACATATTTATTCTGAAAATCCCAAACATCATAAACACAGCCCTTCTTTGTTACTACCTGGAGTAAGACCTGAGTAAGACAATCTAGAGACTGCTGTCAAATAGATTGTCTGACTCCATCTCTCTCCGGGTTTTGTCTCTACTTGTTCCCTCACTAAATTTTATCCTTAATATCTTCCAATTTACTGGCTTTTCCTTTGATTTACAAATATGCTCAAGACTTTTTCAAAGAAACACTCCAAAAAACTTTGCAGCTGCAAATCTCTGTAATGAAGAATAGTCTATATCCATTATTTCTACTTCCTTACATGTAGACTGAATTTAATGTCAGATGGTGATCTGGGCTTTTCAACTTTAGAAATACTAACATTTTGGGTCAGATAATTCTTTGGGGGTGTGTATGTGGAGGGGGGAATGATGAAGGAGGTGGAGGTTAGTGTAGTACTTTTTGGTTTTGTGATGCTATAATAAAATAATCCTAATCAGTCCCTCCCTAACTTTGTTTCTTACATTCTAATCTTGATTTAAGATATAGTTTGTAGGGCCCTCCCTGGTGGCACAGCGGGCTAAAGCACAGCACTAAGAAGCTAATAAAGCCACTTTAGCATGAGTTTGATCCCTGCTCCGGAGGTGACCCACATGGCATGACAGACCTCTCCTGACCCACCCAGGGCTCCCCTTAGCAATGTACTTGGTCAGTTCTGCTCCCCACTCTGTCTCTGGTGAAGCTTCTCTCTACCCCTGCAACCTCTGGCCTATACCCCAGTTCTGTATGCATAAATAAATCTTTCGTTTTTAGAAAAGATGTAGTTTGTAAAAAATAAAGGGTGATTCAAAATAAATATAAAACTTGAAATCCACAAATAATGTGATACACACGAACACACTCATGTTTAAATCTAGATCTATAATGTCCTGGAAGACTTAGAAATATGACCTGGGGTAAGTAAATATTTTTCTAGGCCTTGGTTTGGTCAGTGAAATGGGTACTAAAAAAAATATTTATCTCCTAAAGTTGTAGTGATTAAATAAATGTCAACCCTATAGCATAGATAAAAGACTCAATAAATACTATTATTATAACTATGATTTGTTATCTGTAAATTTCTCATCTGTATCATCCTGAACCACTATATTCCTGTTATACTTCTACTTAACATCAGTCTTTTAAAAACTGATCACATATTTCTCATTATTGTCTGAACACCTCAACAAATTGCAATAGTTTTGACCACTTATATTATCAGTTGTTCATGGTATCCAGATGTAGCATGGGCTTATTTACAGAGTTACCATTTTAAGAAACATTTTCAGGATTTGAATTCTTACAAAGTAAAAAGATACAGGTATTCTTCTATATAAGTTTCCTGGTTAGGTTCTTAAATTTCAAATTGGGCTCATGGCAAAGTTTTAATATTTGATATAGTAGATAGGAATTGTAATTGGTATAAGTTTAATGCTTGTTGCTGCTTTTGGCATAATTTTTCTATAAAACTGTATTGCCAAATGAAAAGTTTTAACACATGACTGACAATAGTACTGGTTTGCTGAAAAAATCTGATAAGTAAATAATCTGATACATAAGGTAGGACAGAGTGCTAGAAACATTATGGATAAACTTTTGTAATACAATAACAGAAATAGAGGGAGGGAGATATAAGGACTACATTTGGTGAGATCCACCCTAGCAGCCCTTCCCATTATGAGCAGCCTGCTCCAAGTCATCCTCACATTCTGTATACTAAATGGTATTGGAAGGCTCTGACTAAATTCTCTTCATTCCCCCAAGGAAACAAAATGAACAAAAGAAACTGCTTTGACACAGGGATGGCAGAATGTGTTGGGAATGAGTATATCAGGAGTTTCAGCATACAAGATAATATTTAAGGAGAAGTGATATTTGCATAAACATTCAGTCAAATGAGCGGTTGAGCACTCACAGTACTCATTTTAGTTTAAATTTAATCTTTAGAATGTTGCCTAGTGCTCAACTGAGTTTTTAGAACTTGTGTTTCCGAACTTTGGAATCTTTTCAACAACTTTAATCTTCTGAGGATGAAATTTTACAAACAGACCTCTCTGGAGTAAGTCTGGTAAACAGGGCTATTTTTGTGTAATTCCACAAGTGTTCCCAACAGATTTTAGTAAAAGTTGCTGCAGGGGCTCCCAAGTTACCACCCGTAGAACAATACTCATTGTGACGCAAACATTTTGTTTTTTGGGGGACTGAGAAGGGAATGAGGAGATGAAGGAGGTGGTCCTATTTTATGATTACATGGAAGAAAAATGATCGACAAGTTTGAACGGTAGTTTATGGATCAAAATAAAAAGACGAGTAACTCCACTAAATCTCAATTTGGATGCCTAAAGTCTGCTGGAACTCTTAACCTGGGGTAAAGGAGAGAAGGAAGGCGGCTGGATTAATAGACAATGTCAGAATAATTAACCCTTATCCTAAATCTAGTATTATCTAACTTTCTGAACTTAAAAAAAAAAAAAAAAAGGGGTGACGACACGGAATAGAATGGAATCATTTCCTTCGATAAGTGGCCCAAGGATAATTCCTGGGGAGTGGGGCAGAGGCAGTAAGATTCTCTGTGCGGGAAAGAAAGGGGTAAGAATCACTCAGGCACACGGATGCACGGGTCACTGCGGTCTTCTGCAGGATCAGGTGTGTGTGTGTGGGGGGGGGCTAAACTGGAACCCTCAACCTCAGCCTCCATCGTATACACCTCCCTCATCCCCACACTGGTTCTGTCCGGGTGAAAGAGACTGGGTAAGGCCCCGAATTCTCAGAGGCGGGGCATCTGCGGGGCGGAGACCCGGAGCTCGCCAGGGTCTGGCCCTGGACGCCCGAGTCCTGGCTGCCAGGGGGTTGTGGGGTGTGCGCTGCCCCGCGGGTGGGGAGTTGAGTCAGGTCAGGGCCCTAATAGGAAGAGCTGGAGGTCGCCGGCGGGGACACGTTTCTCTGAGTCCCGCGGCAGAGGGGCTGCGTTTAGGGCCTGAGCCGGCTTCACCAGAACAGCCCACCCCTCCCGCCCGTTAACCTGAGAGTGTCTTTCGCCTCGGCTCGGTTCCGATCAGGGCTGAGGAAGCCGCCGCCACAGCCTCTGGGCCGCTCGACCACACCCAGTCTCAGTGGGTCTGGTCTGCAAAACTTGGACTCGACCTCATCCAAGAGCTCGTCCAGGTCCTTCGCCATCTTGACTCGTCACGTCTTTCCCACTCCCAGTCTCCCTCAGCAGCAGCGCAGCAGCGCCGGGTGGTTTCCCGGGGCAACGCATGGACCCGCCGTCCGCGTCCCAGGCCGCCCTGCGCATGCGCGCGCCGTTCCTCACCGGCCGGTGCGGGAGAGGCGTCTGCACTGAGGCGCACGAGTGAGAGGGCCCGTTGGGTCTGCGAGGCCTGGGGATTCAGGGCTGCCCGCGGGGATAGAGGTAGGAGCTTTCTGTTCTTGCGCGACCTTTCGCGCTTTGTTTTTTTCGTTCCAGATTGTCTGGCGTGTTCGTATCATCTCCCCCTCCTGGACCCAAGTTGTAAACACAGTCACACAACTCCGTAGCTCTCTTCCCTAAACCTCTTTGGGGTCTCATTGGGGTCCCCCGTTGTAGTCCAAAGTCTATAATTTGCAACCGTGGATAAGTTCCATGAATAATCTGGAAAAGTACGCCAAAATGAAAACAAAGTAGGTAGCAAAAGCTTGCCTTCCCGTAGTCGGCAGGATTCGAACCTGCGCGGGGAGACCCCAATGGATTTCTAGTCCATCGCCTTAACCACTCGGCCACGACTACTGTTAGTGTTGCTCTCGGCAGCAAGACCTATGTGGATTCTTTGCCTAACTGTCTATGGGGATAAGTGTCTAGATCTGGAGAAAAACATCACAAAGCTGTTCTATGGGGTAAGAGCTGACTTTAATATTGGGTATCAAGTGATTTTAGTTTTTTGAAAGATACTTAAGACATATCCCGTCCAACCTCCTTTTTTCCCTATCAGAAAAAAGTGAGTTCTAGTCAGACCTTTAAAGTTAGAAAACAGGAGAAAGCGACGAAAACCTGTACTCAGGTACACTTGCTTGCACAGTCACGGAGCCATTGCCCTCAGGAAGCCCCGAATGAGGTCTGCGCCAGCGGGCTCCGCCACCAGCCGGCGGGCTTTTTGGCCTGACTCCAATCAAGTTCCAGCTCTCGGGCTACCGGGACTCTCTTCGCCCATAGAGCTCAAAAATACCACTACCCGCCGATTTAAATTCATTATGCAGGGGTTGATTGTCTCACCATAGCATAAAAACACTAATTTGAAAAAGTGGTATGTATCAGTGGAAGATACTGTCACGTTATGGTATTCCTATACATATTATGCACGACTAAACTTGAAATTTGAGTATTTCCAAACTGGGGTAGAAAACAGGTTGGCACTTGGAAACTCCAGAGATGTTTCATCTAGATAACTAAGTAGCTTCATTAGTCTGGCTTGTTATTTGTTAAAAATATTTTTAATACTCCTGAAGAGTAGAGTGCAGTGATGTGCTGGAGTGAGTGATTCTGCCCACCTTTAAATTTTCATGAATTTGGGAACCTATTAAGATGCAACTATTAGTAAAAATTAAATTGTATAATTTACAATTAATTAACATTAAAAATCGAAGTAACACTCAAAACTCACCACAACCTAGTTATTTCATTAATTTTTTATACTTTCTGCTCTTGAGGTGGTTTGCATCTTTTGTATATAAAACACGTGAAGGGCTGGTGTTGTATATCTCTTAACTTTCCATTTAGTGATGTCATTTGGGTAGCTTGAAGTCAGCCATGTGGGTGTATTTACACTAAGGAAAAGGCAACTACTACAAAGCAGGATTTGTGAAATATTTACCAATAGACCACTGATACTACCATCTTTAGATCAAGGGTGAATATTCCCAGCAAGGCCACATTTACCTTATCTTTAGGACTGCATCGGTTAGTCTTCTCTGCAGCTTCTTTTTGTCTAGTGGAATCCTGGACTATTGTATGATTTACCATTTTATTCATTTAAATGAAGTAACGTTGTTTTACATTCGTACTAATTTTTTGACAGTGTAGAATTTCTTCCCCAGGGTGTGGCCCCCATAGCTTTCCTACCAGCAAAATACATATGGTCCTCTATCATAGTCCACTATGCTTTCTCTGTCCCCTAGTCCTCCTTCTCTTACCCTTTTGGCTTTATATTTTGTCTTTGTCTGACCCTTTGTTACCTCTATATAAGTGAAACTATCAGGTATTTATCTTCTGCCTTCAGGCTTATTTTGCTTAGCATAATACCTATTCATGTCACTGAATAGTAGTCCACTGTGTAGATATATCACATCTTCTTGATCCCCTCATCTGTTTTTTGACACTGGTCATTTTCATATCTTAACTATTGTAAATAGTGCTGCAGTAAACATGGGAGTACAAGTTTCCTTTGAAACTCATGTTTTTGTGTTCTCTGGGTAGATACCAAGGAGTGGAATTGCTGGGTCATATGGCAGATCCATTTTCAGTCTTTTGAGAAACCTCCATACTGTTTCCACAGGGGCTGGACCAGTCTGCATTGCCACTGACAGTGTAAGAGCGTTCCTTGTTCTGCACATCCTCAAAAGCATTTTTTTTTTTTTAAATATGGGTCATACACATACCACACCATTATGGTTTTGATTTACATTTCCTTGAGAGGTGATGAACATTTTTTCATGTGGCTGTTGGCTATCTACATCTCTTCTTTGGAGAAGTCCCTATTTAGTGCTCCTGCCTGTTTTAATTGGGCTATTTGTTTTCTTTTTGTTGAGTTGTCTAAGCTCTTTGTAGATCTTTGTTATCAGTCCCTTTTCAAATGTATGGTTTGCAAATATTTTCTCCTATTCAGTAGGGTGTCTCTTCATTTTTGTTTCTGTCCCTTTCACTGTACAGAAGCGTTTTAGTTGGATGTAGTCCCAGTCGTATATATTCACCTTGCTGCTGGGCATGAATTAACAAAGATATATCTGAAGTTTATGTCATGGAGTGCCTTGCTTACATTTTCTTCTATGTATTTTTTGGTTTCAGGTCTTACACTTAAGTTCATTTTATCCATTTTGAGTTGATTTTTTGGTGTGGTGTGAAATAGTGGTCTAGTTTTATCCTTTTTGTATGTGACAGTCAAAGTTTTAATGTTTTTTCTTTTACAGTTCTCTTGCTGAATGATTGTACCTGGAACTGAAAAAAAAAAAAAAAAAAGACATACTAAGCCACTTGAAATTGCAGGTTGTTTTTGCAACATGTTTCTAGGGGGATAACAGATAGTTGCTATGCAGCCTAATAGGCTTAAATTAATGATTTGATTTTTCTCTAGAAAGAATGGATGAAATCTGAGGTACCAGTAGTCCAGAGAATCTATTAGTATGTAGAAATTTTGAAAGTATAAAGAGGACATGGTTCTTGATAAATATTAGAAAAAAAAGAGATTGTTTCCTTTTTCTTCCCTCTTAACCCCACTTCAATAAGATGCTGTGTTTCGATCACCCAGAGGTTGGTGTTTGAGAATTTAATTTACAGTTCATTTAACTCTCCACTGGGTTTCCTGACTTTTACCATGTTCTCTTTCTGGCTTGCCTTAGAGAGAAGAGTCGAATTCAGAATCTACAGAGAGAAATGTTGGTTATCGCAAAAGTCTTATGCATATACATATGGCTGTATGGTAAACTGTAAAATGATAGCTAGTACACTATTAAAGATTTCCAGATGTTTAGAGTATCATCTGGGTGTGCTTCAGTGAACTCCAATAATGGAGGTGGTTGTACATGATGAATATAGACTTGGCTTTAGATTCTGCATATGTGCAAATCATATCAGAAAATTAAAACCCCACATTATGTATTCCTTTTGTATTTTCTTTTTGTTTTCCAAAAGAGGAATGTTATTTACTATTTCTATAATTATTAATATGTATAGAAAATGATGTGAGAATCCTTGTCCTTTAAATCCTTTCCAGCCTTGGAAAGAATGCTAAATGGCAAACGTCTTACAAAGGACTAGGGCCTAGTGCCTTCAGACATGGTAAAAGGGTGTACCATGTATTGTTACATTTACTTTGTATTTCCAAGGACGTAGTTTAGGGAAAAGATGCCCAAAATAAGAAAAGAAAGCCTTGTTGTCTTTTCCAAGTAACTGAAGAAAGCTCTGAGCCGGCTGCTCACTAGCGCCATTCTAAATGAGCTAGGGGTGGTGGGTGATACAGCTGGTTCTGTTGTCCTACACAGCTCCAGGCCAACCCTTTCAGTTACAAGGTGTTTTATAATCCTCCTGGCCATTCACATAATGAATTGCAAGGCCTCTTTGAATTCCCACGTACTTGGGTTTAATTTCCCCAGCCCTGCTTCTCTCCCCACACATTGCAGACCTTCTAAATAAACACCCAGCACTGGGCAGTGACAGAAATGTGAGGGGAGGCAGCCTCCCCGAACAGTTGCAAGCCTCCCAACAGCTGATGCTGTGGAAGAAATGGAATAGCATTGAGGCAGCTCCAGTCCTTTTAAGTGGTCCCTGAGTTAGGCCTCGATGTCATGTAGGTAAATTCAGTCCAGAACACGCAGGATCTTTATTGGAATTTGTACATTCATCTCTCACAGCTGTGGAGAGTTTAGACTAATCACAACTCTCACTGGGATACTATCATCTTCATAATTTGAAAAAGGATCAGGAGCCTGCAGGCTTGGAACATCTTGAGAAAAATCTGGCTCTGAAATACATCATCACACGTGGGGGACACCACTTGCGGCATCAGTGCAGAGAGTTTAAGAATGCTGAAATCAAGTATTTCTCTGGTGTGATTTCAAATGGCCTGAGAAATCTGAGAACTGTTACTTTTTTTTAAACTACGAAATAAGATTCTTTCCTCTTCCATCAACTTCTTTGCTGTCAATGTGTCTAATGCTAGGTGCCAGAAATGAGCATAGTGTTTTAATGATAACAACGCCAGGGTTAACACAGCCTCTAGGGCTCTCTCAAGAATCAGTTAGGGTGTATTTTGATCCTCAGACATGTTCTGAAGGCGTGTTCCTCCATAGTCCTGTTAGTCTCAGTACATTTCTCTTCAGCAGCCTGGATAAAACATACCACTTTTTGCTAGGCTGTCTCATGTTTGGGGTCCCTAGGATCACATTTTTCATTGACCCCGTGTGTCCATAGGGTAGGGCTAGGTTCAAAGTTGGAATTTGGGGAGCAGCACTGAGGCCTGGTGAAGTACGGTGGG